CCAAGGACAGTCTGTCTTGCTCCTACGGAGAATTGACTTTGAACAGTGCCACAGCGGGCACATTTTCTACAGTAAGGATGGGCAGTCTCCCCACCTGGTAACTGCCCCTGAAAACCTGCTGGAGGGTCAGCTGTGAGTCGGTTCTGGCTCAAGGGCACACAGCAACAAGAGTAAATACAAGGAGCTCTGGTGATGTCATGTGTAATATGTTGCGCTGCTAACCCAAAGGTGAGTGGTTTGAATCCACCAGCTTCATGGAGAACAGTGGTCAGTCTCCTCATGAAGATCTGTACCCCAAGAAAGAGGTCAGTGGAGCAGTGATGTGAGTTGGAATTGACTTGGTGGCCGTGGATTGGGATTTTGAGTTATGGAAGATAGAGGCTAGTTAGCTTTCTTCCTGGGAAACATTTGTGTGGAGGTCTTGGGAAGAACTGGTGACTGTTAGAGAAGACATGAAGTGGACAGGACAGAAGTTCCTGTAGAACTGCAAGTGACCTTTCCCCTGTCTTTCACCTGTCTGGTCGGTCCCTTTGTTTCCATCCCCGAGCAGCCGTTTTGTTTGGTGTTCATTGCCCCTTGTACATCAGGAAAGGGGGAATAGGATGGTGCTGTTGCTGTGAGGGGACATCAGGTTGAGTAGGACGTACAGTGACCCTCTGAGCAACAGCTCTGAACCCTGTCCCGGCCCACGCCATCCTCCTCACCACTGAGACGTTGGAGCCCATTGCTGCCATCACTGTGCCAGCCCCTCTCGTTGAGGGTTTTCTTCTTTGCTGACTTTCCACCTTTCTGAAATTAATCATCCATGTATTTCTTTTCTATTGTTTTGTCTTTTCAGAATTTGATTGTAGTGAAATACATGTCGCAAAAGTTGTGTTTTACAACTTACGGGAATTAATTACATGTATATTGAGCAACCATCACAGGCACTTATTTCCAGAACATTTTCATTATCCCGACAGAAAGTTAGTAGCTTCGAGACCCAGGTAACCAGTAAGAAATATTTGTCCCCGTGCATTATCTCTGTCCATGCTGAGTATCTCATGTGCGTGGAACCATACGCTCTCTCTCCATTTGTGTTTGGACTCTTTGGCTTGGTGTGTTTTCCGAGCTCATCTGTGTGTGGTAGATGTCAGAACTTTTCTCTTTGTGGCTGGGTAACTTTCCGTTGTGTGTATGGGACTATCTTTTGTTCATCCACTCGTTTATTTGGATACTTGGGTAGTTTCCACTTTTCAGCTATTATTATGAATAATGGAACACTGAGGATTTAAGTAGAAGCATCTGTCTGAATCCCTGCTTTCAAATCTTCTGAATTTGTACCGAGGGGTGGAGTTGCTGAATAATATGGTATTTAGCTGTTTTCCTCAGCACTTGCACAGCTGCCTGTTTTAAAAACATGAAAACTCTACAGTCTACTCAGCCAGTGACCTTAGCTGGTATCAGTATGAAGGAAGATGGAATTTCCCCCCAGAATAAAAAGATCTCTGTGGAACTCTTTCTCTGACCCTCTGCCTTTCCCAGCATGGACTCTGACCCCTTCTGATAACATATCCAAAGAATGTGAAAGAGTTTCTAAGAAAGTTCTCATTGCTCTTCCTCCAAGTCAGTTTTATTGTTTTGAAAGTCTGTTTGCCAACACCACAATTATTATTTGCATTTCAGAGTTGTTGTTGTTGTTATGTGCCATCGAGTCATTGCGACTCATAGCCACCCTTTGTACAAGAGCCCTAAACGCCGTTCTATCCTGTGCCAAACTCGCCGTCTCAAACACTCATTTCCACCTCTCCACTCACAGAATTGATCCATCTCATCGAGGGTCTTCCTTTCCTGCGCTTCCCCTCCACTCTCCCAAACATGATGTCCCTCTTCAAGGACCAGTCCCTCCTTGCAACATGCCCAAAGTATGTCAGACAAAGCTTCAGAATCCTTGACTCCAGGGAGATGCTGGCTTCACCCTCTCCAAGACAAACCTGTTCATTCTCCTAGCAGTCCATGGTATATTCAACACTCTTCTCCAGCACCACAGCTCAAAGGCATCAGTTCTCTTTCTATCATCCCTATTCACTGTCCAACTCTGATGCATAGCATGTAATTGCAAAGACTATAGCCCGGATCAGGCGCACCTTAGTCTCCAGCCTGACGTCGTTGCTCTTCAGTACTCTTGAGAGGTCCCTCACAGCTGACTTTCCCAATGCAATTCGTCTCCTGATTTCCTGGCTGCTGCTACCAAGAGTGTTGACTGTGGAGCCAAGCAAACTAAAACTGTTAACTATCTCAAGCCCTTCACCATCCATGCTGATGCTGCCAGTTGAGTAGACCTCAGTAATTGTTGCACTACACTATTTTCTTCCTGTAAAATAACTGAACGTGCACACTAATCCCATTGTAGATTCTGGAAATAAGAATTCTCTTTGGATGCAAATCCACTTTAGACTTAGGGCCCTTTCCCTTGGACTGGATGTCTGTCTAAAGCTGGCTGCCATTGTTGCGTGCCTTCCTCAGGCAAAACCAAGAGGGTAGGACAGTCCTTACGTCAGACCCTCCCTGGACATCATTTGTGTACCAGGTTCCTGTTGGGATGTGAGGGAGAAAGCTCACAGTTAAGTGTGCATAGCATTGAGGATAATAGGGTGGTCAGCACTTATTCTACCTCTCAGGGCCTCGTGGAATACCTGGTGAGGATCTACGAGTAGTTGCTGAGTTCCACTGGTTTGCTGGAAGTAAGGCAATTGAGAAAGGCTTGCTCAAAACCTCCTCCACCTCCCTCATATTCCCTACCTTCCACTTTCCCCCCCTGAAGCCTGAAGTGCAGAATGTGAATCAGAAACATGAGGTAGTTCCTGCGGTGGGAGATGAGGTGAGAGTAGAAGACATGGTCAGACGGGAGGTTCTGTTTGATAGGGAACTGTGCACAGGTCTGGAGCAGGAGGATAACGTAATTGACCCTGTTTTGGAGACCTAGCCCCAGGTTGGCAGGAGTGCTTATTTGAAAACTCCTTGATGACTAATGTCTGCCTTACAACGGTGCTGCTGCCTGCTGCTGCAGAGCTGTCTTTTCATGCAGGAAAGCAGCATGGTGCTTATGAAAAGCTTCAGTAGTGATTGCCGAAAGGAATTCAGAGAGCTGGGGCAACCAGAGAACTGGATGCTCTGAATTGAAGGAGCTTAATCATGCTGTTCCTGTGTTCACCACAGCCATCACCTCCCTCGCCCCCAGTGTACTTTTTTTGTTGTTCAGCTAGATAAAAGTGCAGCCCAGGGGGAGCTCTGGTGGCCAAGTGGCAAGAAGCCGCACTGCAATCCCAGGGGTACACAGTTCGAATGCACCAGATGCTCTGCTGGAGAAGGAGGCGCAATATCCTCCTGTACCAGTCAGATCCGATTTGACGGGACACGCACACAAAATAATAAAAATAAAAAAAGTGCAGCCCAAGGCATCCTGATCACTCTCCCCCTCCCAAAAAACCCACCAAAACCCAACCAGAACGAAACAAGATGGTGTGTGGTTTCTCTTGAGTGATCAGATGCACTGGCCCTGGAATGTGCACTGGAATTCTGAGGTTTCTCTCCACTGGTAGGGAGGGGGCAGTTCACCTTTCATTAGCTCTGCAAGCTTTGGTTTCTGCATTTGGACTCACACATAGTGTGTTGATGCTGTAACTAGAGTTAATGAACCCTGGTGGCGTAGTAGGTTACATGCTAGCCTGCTAACAGGACGTGAGTGCTTGGTATCTGCCAGCTGCTTTAAGAGAGAAATGTCTGCTCCTCTTAAGATTTACAGCCTCAGAAACCTATTGGAGTGGTTCCCTGAGTACAAACTGACTTGATAGCAGTGGGCTGGATCCCCCCCCATTTGATTTGTTGGGGTTTTTTTGATTGCTATGTTAAAATCTAACCCTTCACTTTTGATGAATCTGTGATCTAGGGAGTCTCAAGATTCCGAGGCTCCTTAAGACTCAGTTTCCTCATTTATAAAATGTAGTTAACTCATAAGTTTATTGTAAGCTTATAAAAATCATGTGTCAACATTTATTGACCTGTACTGAGCACTCAAACGTTTTTGTTGATCTCTAAAAAAGATCTCTAAAGATCCCTGGATACAGCACAGTGCCCTTGGCTATTGCTCAGGAAGCTGACAGTCATTCCACAGAGGAAGACCCAGCAGGTCAGCTACTGTAAATACCAGCTGTTGAAAACCCTGCTGCCTGCCATTCTGTTTTGACACACATGGGGTCCATGAGTGAGTGAGAATTCACTTGATGGCAATGAGGTCAGTGTTTGGTTTTAGTGAGCCTGCAAACGTTTTCGTTTATCGCTTCCCTTATGCTCTAAACCAGACTCACATGGTAGCTTTTTTCTTGGTCTCAGCCCAGTTGGAGGCATCTGATTGCATTGAAGGTTTGAGGCTACCTGGCACCCTTTATTTTAATAATCGTTTAACCTCTCGTAAGCCTGTTTCAGTGGAGTTGTTTTATAACCATTGAGTCAGAATATAGCTGAAGCTCCAGCGGCTTTTCAGAGGCTATAAATCAAGCAGGCGTTGCTTGCAGAACAGCTGATGATGGATCCAGACCATATATACCTGTACACTCAGCCCTCAGAGTGGCCTAAGTTTGTTTCGGTGGGTGGAATAATGTCTGCATCTTGGGGGGCTGCGAGACATGGTTGAGAGAATAATTATGGAATCCATGTGTTTTGGAAACTGTAAAATTGCTCATCGTACATACGTGGAAGTATGTTACTTTAGTGTCTCCAAACACTCTGTAAGTAGCAGAGCCCTAGTGTGAGAACAGTGGCAGCCTCTTATTCCCAGTTTTGCTTACGGCACATAGAGTTAAAAGCCTCGTGTTTACTCTGTCGGCTTACTTGCTCCTCGGGCTGGAAACTTGGTGGTCTCTGTCAGGACCTTTTCCTTCCTAGTGCCAAGTACATCACTGTACTTGCAACAGCTGCTGTGGCTCTCCAGACCCATTTAATATTCCCTTTTTTGTTTGTAGGCTCAATGTCAGAGCAGGACTTGGAGGGGTCCGATCTCGTGTGGGCATCCATCAGAGCCTTCTCAGCCAGCCAGTACGCACAACCACCTTCCAGCAGAGATTTGATGCCCGTCAAAAGATTGGCCTCTCAGATGCCAGGCTCAAGCTGGGAGTCAAGGATGCCCGGGAGAAGCTTTTACAAAACGATGCTCGGTTTCGAATCAAAGGGAAAGTGCAGGATGCACGAGAGATGCTCAACTCCCGAAAGCAGCAAAGTACAGTGCCCCAGAAACCACGCCAGGTGGCCGATGCCCGAGAGAAGATCAGCTTGAAACGCAGTTCCCCTGCTGCCTTCATGAGCCCGCCTGTCGTCACAGTGACTCCTGCTCTGAAGCTCACCAAGACCATCCAGGTGGGTCAGAACTTTTTATACGTGTTCTAGTCAAGTAACACATAAAGAGGGCAAAATACTATCTCAGTTTTATATAAAAGAATGAGCTCTGGTGGCTTGGTGGTAAGGAGTTGGGCTGCCAGTCTAAAGACACACGGTTTGAATCCATCAGGTGCTCCAAGGAAGAAATATTTGCTGTCTCTGGAAACCTGCTGGAGGGTCAGCTGTGAGTTGGTTCTGACTCGATGGTACATAATAGCAATGCTATAAAAGAAAATAAAGGACCAGAGAAAATAAGTAACATTCCCTCCTGAAATTGATGGTAGGAGAGGAAGAGATGGGGAAGAATCAAGTGAACATTTGCTGAACATGTAATATATAGTAGGCACTTGACATAAATTGCCTATTTCTTGTTGTGAATATAGACTAGTGACCCAATTTTATAGAAGAGTCTGCTTCCAAAAGGTTATAGCCTTGAAATCCCTACAGAGCATAGTTCTACTCTGAACACCCAACTTGATGGTATCAAACAATAACAACTGAGATGCAGATTCTTCTACAAAACTAAGGGTGGGTTGGCACCATCAGAAGTGGGAGGAGTCAGCAGAGGAGCTCAGTCAGACCCTCCGGGTCCTGGTACACAGTATGTACCTTGAGAACCACGACAGCTGCAGCTTCCTTCAGATCTCCCTCCACGTGCCTATCAGTCTCTGGAATGTCACTTCTCCTTTACTTTCCTGCTTTAGGAGACACTTTATAGTTTTTTAAACCAAAAACTAAAGCAAGGTCCCCACAATCTTTCAAGTTCCATCTTCTGCTCACAGAAACACAAATAAACCCAGTAGAATGAATTATGACCACTGGATCCTTTTAGGTTCCACAGCAGAAGACCATGGTTCCACTTCATCCTGCTGGAATGAGGATCAACGTCGTCAATAACCAGCAGCCCAAACAGGTAGGATTGAGAGCGAGCGAGCACACGTTGTTGGAGGAGCAGTTGCAGTCACTTTCCTGTGCATGAATGGCTTTTTAGAAAAAACCTCTTAGTAAAGGCAGGGCAGTAAGGGGCAGAAGGGCAAACTGAAAGTTAACATGTTTTATTAATTAAAATAGAATGTGTTTAATATAGAAAATTTGCAAAATAGATTAATTTTAAAAGTTCTTGCTCTTATTCTGCAGAGCTAGCTAGCTTTCTCCTAATGTTGAGTTCCACCACGTGTTGACTTCCCCCTAAAATGTCGTCATTTTATGCAAAGTTGTAATTGTGTTCTTACCCAATTTTGAATCACTTTTCCCCGTGTTTCTGGAATGCTTCACATCCACAGTTAATCTTTCTGTTAACTAGCCATTGACTCTATGATCTACACTTTTGAGTGATTTTTTTTGGTTGTTGCTGTTGTAATATTCACTATTGTAAATTCTTGTATTTTTCATAAATCTTTTTCTAGATTTGGGGTTATTTGACTAGGTGAGAATCCTTGGGTTGATGGACTTTTGATGCCAGAGCATAAAATGCTTTGGAGACTTGTACACATTATCTCCAGTTGTGAAAAGTGCTCCAAGTTGCAGTCCTTGCCCCAGACCCTTGCAGGCAGGGAGGCAGGCGAGTATGACTTGTGCCCTAGCCTTTGAGACTCCTCCTGGGACACCTCCCCTAGTTCTCAGTTCTCCCTCATACAACAGCAGTCGCTTCCCTCCTATGCTTGTTCCAGAGTGCTGTTGAGGGTCTACCGAGCACAGATTGCATTGAGTGCCCTGAACGCTTTTGGACAAAGATCTATTAGTGTCTGGTTTTTTTTTTGTGTGTTTTTTTTTGTTCTTAGAATTTATACGACCTGGATGAAGAGGATGATGTTACAGCACCTGTTCCTAGTAAACAGATGAAAGTCTCATCCATTGGCAGCTTTGTCTACCATCCAGTATGACATTTTTATAAAATGTTGTTGTGTCAGAGTATATATAACAACGTTTGCCATTTCCGCCAGCATATTTTCTGCATCCGCTGGGTGTGAGGTCAGATGAATGTGAGAGATTGTGGAACTTGGGCTTTCAGTACAGAATGTGCTTATCATTTGGATCATAACATTTTCTGAACTAGAACCAGCCCCACGCTTTGCTTTGTAAATACTGAGAACAGGCTGTCTAGAGACTGGCTTGTGATTCCATAGTGAGTAGACGGCTGAGCCGCAGCTCTCTGTTGTTGGATAGGAGAAAATCCAGGGGAAACGTGTATAATAAAAGGAATCACATTTTGCTTCCTCTGTGCCAAGACAGCCTGCTCCAGGTCTTCCCACACAGCAGCTTTGGCCCTAGTCTGATTTCCTTGATTAGTAGGTGAGCACAGATATTCGGACTTGCCTGTGGGCGTTTCCAGGTACAGCTTACACGTCAGGAATCTTGGTGTGCCAGTGAAGTAGAAGGAGAACAACATCTCAGTATCCATTCAAGTGATCTCTCAGGGTGAGGGTGTCAGACTGTGCTTTAAGAGGCCCAGAGACTGTGTTGTTTATCAACCAGTGTTTCTCTTACTACTGGAGCTCTTAAAGTGGCTCAGGTTGGCTGCTGAGGGGTCTATCAATGGAGCTCAATGCTAATGCTAGGTAGAATTTAGAAGTATGTAAATATTTCTGTTCACTTACATACGGTACTTGTCCTCTTCTGCAGTGTACAATTATTGCATGATTAATTTAGAAGACAGGTCCCTATGAGGCAGAGGTTAAAGATGCCCCAGATATCCAGCTTTTCTGAACTGCTGTACCACTTACTCTTCTCTGACATCAGCTTCTCCTCTTCCCCTCCCTATTCTTTCTCCTTACTTGAACTTTCATAATTCACTGGAACATTACGCAGAACTCTCAAACCATTTAGACAATTGCTTATTTGGTTGTGGAGTCTGGCAAGGTCCAAGCCTGTGGGTCAGAAGTCGGTCTGGAGGCTTCTACTGACTCAGGTTATTTTGAAATAGGTGAACCCCAATTGGAAGGTATGATAATAAGCTGCTGGCTCACATTCCAAGAACCAGAGGACAAGGAGCTGTATGTAAGGTCCAGAGCATTCCTATAAGTAATATAGACCATATATCCTCAAGGGACCTAATAGTAACTTAATCATACCCTGTAGAAAGACTGGGACTCAGGACAGATCTCATCCCAGTCTTGTCTCCTTAACATCATAGAACTCACTCAAAACCAGACCGTATCCACAGGTGTACAGGCAGTGCCAGAAAAAGGACATCTTGTAGAGTCTAGTGGATAAGGAGTTGTATTGCCAGCCCAAGGCAGATGGTTCAAATCAACCAGCTATTCTGCAGGAGAAAGATGGACAGTCACCTCCTGTGTTACTTGCAGCCTCTGAAAACCCACTGGAGGGCCAACTGAGTTGGTTTCAACCTGATGACACACAACAACATAGCTTGAAAGGGTCGTATTAGCTAATTTATTGTACCTCAGGTAGTATACCTCTTTTACAGATAAAGAAACACAGAGCAGTTAGTTAAATAATCCTGCCTTAGTCACTCAGGCTACATTCAGAACTTGAGCCTAAGCCGTCAAGACTGCAGGCTCTCGTGTTCAAGTATTATACCATGCTGACTTAGGATTGGTTTGGGAACATAGACTTCTATAGGGTGGATATTTCATCCATCCTTGGAGAAGCCTCACAGATCTACCCTGTCCTACACTCTGGCTGCGGTGTTTCTCTTGAGCGGTGAATACCTCCCTAAATAGATGGGACCACCTTCCACTTCTGCTTCACTCATCTCTTCCTTCAGATGCATTCATATAGAAGTGTTTACTGGATTATTTTTCCAAGGAACCGCTTGCCAGTTTGAATGGTGGGGTTATTGTGGGTGGTCTGCACATGTTGACTGTGCTGGCCTGTCCCCAGAAGTCTGAGAGCTGGTAAGGCAGGCCTGTGTGTGTGCCTTTGTATGGTTGTAGGTTCCTGTGCTCAGCCAGTCCAGAGATGGTGGTCTGCCATTGTGTAGAAATGTAACTGGGTATAAATGTCACTTCACGCTTTCGGCCTTGTTAGCCCGAAGTTACAGTTTTCATAAAGTTTTAGTGATGTGGTTTCTGGGTTAGTTTCTTAGGTCAGTGTTGTGTTAAAGGTTGTTATGAAGGACTTTGCATACTCTGACTGCTGCATCTGTGAGCATGTGTGCCAGCTCTGCTTTCTTCCTTACCCTTCTCCTCCCTGTGGGACATTTGTGGTAGCAACAGCCTTTTTGGCTGCAGATCTCTGCTTGACTTGAGGCATTGAAGGTGGGTTGTCAGCCATGCATGTAGCTGGTTCTCAGTCCTCTGGGGCTTCTTCACAGGAGTCCACGGCTCCGGCTTCTCAGATTTCTTCCTGCCTCTCTTGTTTAGGCTGGGCTGAGCAGCTCCAGGCTGTCCTTGTCCAGGGCTCTCCCTCTCACCAAAGTGGTCCAGAATGATACCTATACAGCTCCAGCACTCACCTCCTCCGTTCGAACAAAGGCCTTGACCAGCATGTCGCGGACACTGGTGAACAAAGAGGAACCCCCTAAAGACCTGCCCCCGGCTGAGGTGAGTTCAAGGTGAAGGAGAGGAAATGCCTGCCCATCCTAGCTGAGCCTGTCTGCTGCTTGGCAGTGTGCTCAGCTCTGTGTCTGGTCCTCACAAGGCCTTTTATAAACAAGCCAGGGCCTAAGAGTATCCAGCCCTCTGGCGCTTGCAGGCTGGTACACCACATCTGGTGGTGGGATAGAGGTCCACCAGAATAGACCTTTCGGGGGCATTGAGGAAAGGGCATCCAGTTCCTCATGAAAAGGGGGAAAGCTTCAAGGAGAAGCCATGTGAGCTGGATGGCTCTTAAAATAGGAGTGGCATAACAGAGAGACAGAGACTTAGAGGCTTAAGAGGACCCAGAATATTTGAGAAATGCGTTCTGTTTTCCTGGTGTAGGTGGTGGATGTGTGTTTGGGCTGAGGACTGTGGTCCGATTGTAACTGACCTTGCATGTTCTGGGCCCCTGTGGTCACTTACGTGGAGTGAGTGTGGGGGGAGCTCATGCCTGTCTCTGACCTCTGCTAACACTCTTGTCTGTGGCAGCCTGCGTTCAGCCCCCTGGAAGGCACGAAGATGACCGTGAATAACCTGCACCCACGCGTCACCGAGGAGGACATTGTTGTAAGTACTGTGGCTGCAGAATTGTCAGTCTTAAATAAGGCTTATGTCAGGGGCCCTTCGCCGCATCTCCAGATGTGGAGATCTGCGCAGGAGACTAATGGAACTCACAGTAGAGATGTAGTCATGGCTGGGATTCATTAGAATAATAAGAAACAACAAAATCAGCCAAGAAAAAGGCACCTGGAGCAAAGTCCCTGGGAAACTAGGTACGAGCTTTCGGACCGCTCACTCGCCGTAGAGGCACCTGAACTTGACTCAGCTGTGACAGCGTGCATATGTGTGGTCTGCTGGCGAAGATCACTAGTGAGTCAGTGCTCAGGGGTTTTGTTGCTGTTGGCTTGTCATGTAGGACCTTTCACCTAGAACTTTTGTCTCAGGTTTCCCTAAGGAAAGCAGGTATTGAGCATAAACCGTGTTGTTTGCGTGAAGAATCTGGGCATAATGAGGCTCTCTTACCAGTTTTGGTCACCTGGAATCTGAGTTCCCAGATTGCTGCCCACCTTGTTACAGGTCTTGGAGATGGCAACCTTCAGGCCTACTGCATCAGCACTTCACTGTGTCAGTGGTGGTTCTTAGCAAGTATTGGGTACCAGGTGTGAATCTCAGGATGTCTATGCTTCTAAATGGGATTGTTTTATTCTCACTGTGCAATACGTGCTGTCTTAATTACCCAATGGTACTATAACAGCGAGCACAATGATGGCTTTAATAAGCGGAAATTGATTCTTTTACAATTGAAGAAGCTACAAGTCCAAATTTAAGATGCCAGCTCCAGAGAAAGCCCTGCTCGCTCATTGTTGGTTGTGGAGAGAGAAGTCCTTGTTTTCTCAGCATCTGTAGGCCAGGAGGCATTTCTTGAGTAATCTCATGTGTCTTAGTCTTCCCTAAGGTCAAGCTACCTAACAAAAAGGCTGAGTCCAAAAGGATGTACTCCTTCCTGGCAAGGATTCCTCCTCTCAGCTCCCCCCCCCTTCCCCCATTTATCTCTCTGGAATGAAAGGTAGTGTAGGCCACACCCTAGAGAAGTGTCCCTTCTGTCTGTAGGGAAGGGAGAGGATAAGGCTGGGAAAAGGGTACTGTCCTCCACCCTTGATTCTTTTATAGCTGTTCGATTTACCAGATCGTAGGGGATCATTACCTAATTTCCACATTAAATCCTGGGACTTGTGTTTTGAGGGACACAGTTTAATCCATTATAAACATCCATGGACTGACAGTACTGTCACCTGCTGGTTAATTGGATGGCCCTCTTGCTCTGTCCTGTCTCACCTACACCAGTGTGGTCAAAACTTCCTTTTCAAATTCATTTTCATTCTGATGTCAGACAGCATGAGCTTAAAATCACTTGTGTATACAGATATGTAATACTTAAACAATAGCAATAAAATCAGCATCTCATCTTAGTTTGAGTAACATTTCCCCCATTATCATTAAAATAAAATGGACAATTTCATGAGCCACTTTCCTCATCCTCCTCACACCCTTCTGATGGCTAGTTTGCAGAAGAAAAGCTTGGATGCTAGTTAACCCCCATCTGTCCAGACCCTGCACCCTCTCTGGCTTCAGTCCCTTTGTCAAGTGAGGAAGGGATTGGAACATGGTAGGGTGGCAACATCTGTGTACAAAGCATTGCCTTATGAACGACCGTGGATGAACTCACAGCAGCCCTAGGAGATAGTCTAGGCCAGACCTTTGCTCCCTGTTTTCACAAGAAAAAACTTGGTGCAGAGAACTTAAATAACCTGCTGACAGGTCATTCAGCTGATAGAAGGTCAAGCCACAATGATCAAACCCAAACCTGGGTCTTGGTGACTTGCAATAATTCGCGTTCCTGGTTTAGCAGAGACTTGACAGTGTCATGTCCTGGGGAAACCACTCAATCCTTAAAAACTGGAACAAGGTCTAGCAAACTCTTGTGTAGTTTATTAGCCAGTGATTTTGTATTAGGAACCAATGCAGCCACCAGCCTACCCAGAGTCCCCCGAGTGTGGTTGGCAGGCAGTCAGGGTGGCCGCCTGGAATTCGCTGCAGCCCTCCCCCTCTTGTTCTCTGCAGGAGCTTTTCTGTGTGTGTGGAGCCCTCAAGCGGGCTCGGCTGGTCCATCCTGGGGTAGCAGAAGTGGTCTTTGTGAAGAAAGATGATGCTATCACTGCGTATAAGAAGTACAACAACCGGTGTCTGGATGGTAAGTAGGAACAGCACCTTCTCACTTCCATGCTTAACCCCGTTGTTAAACCACTAGGTCAGTCCACATGCTTGAGGGTCTTCCTCTCCTTCCCCAAACCTCTGCCTTTCCCAGCATCATGTCCCTCTCCAAGGAACAGCCCCCCCTTGCAGCATGCCCAGAGTATGTGAGGTAAAAACTTCTATCATCTTTGCCTCAAAGAGCACTCCAGGTGCACCTTCTTTTATGACATACTTATTGTTATTTTGACAGTTCAGGGGATGTTCAGTACTCTTCTTCAACCACAGTTCTTTCATCCTTATTCACTGTCCAGCTTTCAGATGTATAGCAAGTAATTGGAAAGGCTATGGCCTGAATCAGAAACACCTTAGTCCTCAAACTGATATCATTACTCCTCAATAATTTGGAGAGGTCCCTAACTGCAGACTTTCCCAGGGCAGTATATTTCCTGATTTTCTGACTGCTGGTACCAAGGGTGTTGATTGTGGATCCAAATGAGTTGAAGTTATTGACAGTTTCAATATTGTCACCAGCTGTCATGATGTTGCCTGTCAGTCTCTTGGTGAGAATCTTTGTTTTCTTGACATTAAGATGCAATTCATATTGTAGTTGTATTCTTTGATTTTCTGCAACAAGTTCTTCAAGTGCTCACTTTAAGCGAGCAAGGTTGTTTCATCTGCGTAGCACAGGTTATTGATGAGTCTTCCTCCAATCTTGATGCCACATTCTTCATAGATTCCAGCTTCTTGAGTAATTTACTCAGCATACAGATTGAATAGGTATAGGTAAAGCAGTTAAAATACAATGGCTTGGTCAAGTGCAAATGAAAAGAAATATTTCTCTGTTTATCATAGTCTTGACTATTGCTCCACTTGTAAGAATTTTTGTTCTCTTGTTGAGGTGTATTCCATAGTAAAGACTATAAGACTATCATCTTTGCTTTTCATCAGCAGGCGTTTAAAGTCTGCTTCGTTTTCAGTAAACAAGGTCTTGTCACTAGCATTTTGCACATCAGTGAGTTGTTGACCCGACCTGGTGCTGCCTCCTTTCATTATTTGCTTGGCGTGCATGTTGAATGTTAGGTCGAAGGATACAACCCTGACGCACACTTGTCTTGATTTTGAACCCACACACTAACTTCTTCCTATGTCACTGACTGCTTCTTGGTCTGTGTTCCAAGGTCTCTTGTCTTTGATGGTTCCCTGGGGTGTGAAGTGCTCCATGGTAGGTTGCAGTTGATGTCTAGCCCTTTGTAGGGATAATTTTCAAGGTCAGTCCTTGAAGTTTGTTTTGACCTTGTGAGGACTTCTTTTACCTGTGCCTTTTCCTAGTAAACTAGATAATAAATATTTAACTTGCTAGTTGTTCTCATGATTTCTTCTTAATTGCTTACCACCAAAATCTCTATTTTAGAGATTACTTTTACGGTTGAAGGGAAGGTCTCACACTCTGTTTCACTTAAAATCAGTTCTTTTTCGGAAGAGGTTTCACGTTCGCAGGGAGACCTGGTGGCTTAAAAGCTTAAGCTGCTAAATGAAAAGTTGGATCAGCTCCACCAGCCACTCCTTGGGGCAAAGATGGGCAGAGTGCTCTCATCATGATTTCCAGGCTCAGAAACCTGATCTGTCCTGTCAGGTCACTGTGAGGCAGAGCCAACTCAGGAACAGTGAACTTGGTCTTTGATTGGTTGGAATTGTCTGTTCTTATGGCCTATCTTTTCCCCCTGAGCTAAACCTCTGAGTCAGCTGTAGAGTCGGAGAAGTGGGATGGTTGGGACAGTGGACAGTCTCTCATAGTGACACCTCTGCTCTTGGTCTTCGCAGACTGCCATTACCATCGTTGAACCTTCATCCCATGAGGTGTTTGTGGTTGGACTCTGACTTGCAGCCCTGTATAAGCTTTCTCCTCGGGAGATGAGTTGGGTGGATAAGGAAGCTCTGTGCTTGGAGACCCTGTGCAGCACAGACAGGAGGGGCAGGGAATGCTGACTGCTGCTCTGCTGGGAGCTGAGCCCATTTTCCCTCACTCCTCTTATCTCTCTTCCACAGAAAGTAAAATGTTGCTTCTCGGTGCTGTCCTGAGGTTTCCTGCATGTCACAACCTGGGCTTTTCTCAATCTCTGGGCTTTGCTAAAAGCCATCAGCCTGGTCCCCACCTGTGGACCTGGTGGTGGGTGGGTGCTGTGGCCCTGGGTGATGGAGCTCATGACCGTTTTTCTCTCTCGTGTAAGGAACTGAGTTCTCACTGCAGCCTTCTCTTATTTTTCAGGGCAGCCAATGAAGTGCAACCTTCATATGAATGGGAACGTCATCACCTCGGACCAGCCCATCCTGCTGTGAGTTCTAAGCCTGGAACCCAGGGCACAGGGAGGGTCAGCTTTTGAGGCTTTTCTGTTTATGCTTCTCGATCATCTTTTATTCTGTATCACAACTCTTCTCATCATTCTCTTTGCCATTCCCTCTGTTCTGTCCGTAGTCACTCAGTCACAGGTCGTAAATGTTAGTTTACAATGGGGCTCATTTTGTCATTTCTACGGAGAATGATCTCAGTAAGGCCTGTCAGAAGTTTGGAAACACCTGAGAGAAAGGTGGATGTTTCTGTACAGTTGCAGGCATCCTTCAAACAGAATTGGGATGGGAATGAGTGCCAGGTGCCACCCTTTTGTATACACACCTGAACCTGCATGTCTGGGATGGGAATGGGGAATTCTCTGGAGCTCAAGACACTTAAACTGTTTGCAGCAGGACACAGGATGTCATTTTATAGACACAGACCCAGGAAGGATACTAGACTTGCTGTGGCCACTTGATCTGTGCGTGGCAGAACCGGGGTGTCACCAACTTTCTCGATTCCTAGCCATTGTAGCTTCTCTGTCTATGACTCTTGCCTTGACATTTTGGGTACTTGTTGGTAGCATGTCTCTCAGATTCATACAGTTGTACTCCTGTTAATTATTAGAAAACAAACACGCTCAGAAAGAGTTACTTTAACCTTTTTTTTGGCCAAAGACCAAGACTGGAAACCTGAGAAGTCAACTGTTTCTAAACTTTGTTTCAGGAATAAATTTTGAAAAGTAGTTTTGTGACCTAATTTGGGAAACATTGGTCACAAAAGAGTTAAATTGCGTCTTCACTGTAGGTCTTCTCAGAATGTGCCAGTACATGTTACCCAGAATTCCTAAAGCAGATGCATCTCAGAGTTTCCTTCAGTAAATAAGAAAAATGACTGTTTGCTGCAAAATGAAATAAGATGGCAGGTGTAGAAAGGATGGCATTGGTTGCCTTGCTCATAACAGATGCTCAGTAAATGCAGGCTCCCTGCCCTGCATCAGGGGAAAATAGATAAGGATTTTGACTCCTCTCTGCTCTCCACAGGCGATTGAGTGACAGCCCCTTAGCGAAAAAGGAGACTGAGCTTCCTCGCAGGATGAGTTCTGCCTCTTCCTCGAACCCTCCTGCCGAAGTGGACCCTGACACCATCCTGAAGGCGCTCTTCAAGTCCTCGGGGGCCTCTGTGACCACACAGCCCACAGAATTCAAAATCAAACTTTGAGTGGGGAAGCAAGGAGGAGGAGGAGGAGGGTGGCTCTCTTTCCCAAAGCCAAGCGTGTGACCAATGGGCCATTGGACTGGAGGCCCTCAAATGGGAAGGGTCACCAGAGGAGAAATCTTCCACTGGACAGGACCCACTTTTCTGTGTTGTCTTCTGCCCTCTGCCCATCTATTTGTTAACATTTCCTGTAGTGTGTTTTTCTGCTCTTCATCTCATCAAGGTAGGCTTGTGTTTCTCAAAATATTCCTGCTCTACCTAATGTCAGCCCCAAACAGAATTCTCACCTGGAAATACAGCACTAAGTTCTCCAAATTGTCCTCTCTGTGGTCCTGTGAGTGCAGGACTGGAGCTGTTTGAGTCGGATTGTTTTCTAGATGAGGGGACATTGCACCGCTTGCCATCATAATGGAAACCAGATTGGCTTGAGAGTGAGCCTAAGTGGAGGGTCACAGGGTCTGATTTCTCCCCAAGATGGTTCTGGAGAGAACCATGTGGCTGGTCTCTCTACTAGGCCCTGACTCTTGGCTTGGAAAACCGCTGCGATGCCTGGTGACCACAGGTAATTTTCAAGGCTCACATTTTCCTTTTCCCTTGAGTTTTACTGATGTCCAGCCCCAGTCCTCTTGGCCTCTGGATGTCACTGCAGGGAGGACTTGATCTGTTGGTGGCACATGTCACATCCTAGGTTTTTTGCAAATGCCAGCCAGATCAACTCTCCATTTGTATGTTTTCAGCACCTTGCACCCTGTGGCATTGTGAATATTTGATAATTTAAATGAAAGATGTTGGCTACAGCTTGCCTTTGTCCCTTGCTTCCTGGCCTCAGATGTCTATGGGACAGTAGTTGGGATGCCAGCAGGAACATACCTAGCTTCCACCAAGAGGTACCATCCTTCACTTCATGGGTTACTTATCTCCTGGTGACCAGAGGAAGGGATATTTTCCTACCTTGATAGTTAGTAGTTTGAGGAGAGCAGCTATTCCAGGTGAGCTTTAAATCATTTCCAGCGTGGGCCCAGTGCTAGACCTCCCTGGATTACAGTCTCTTAGTTTGTTGAGATTAAATGGAGCCCTGGCTTATAGAGCTGGGATGATCTGGGGTCCAGGATCCTGGAAGCACCCCACAATAGCAACAGATGATGGCAAAGACACGAGCCTAAAACTTCAGGCCCTGCTCAGTCAGCCCAGTGACTGGAAATTAGAAAGCCAGGTTCCACTGTTACTCTGTCAAGCAGGAGGGTCCCTGGGCTTGACCTCTCCTGCAGTTTGCTAGCTCTGAGCTTGGCCAGGCCACTTTCCAGTTTTTTCCAAGGTTTCTGCTTTCTCTCTGGTGAATGGATACAGACTTTGTTCTCTTCAGTATCTGGAAGACATTCCTCTCACTTTACCAAGAGAGCACCCAGGTATCAGTGGGATCTAGTTTCTTGGTGGTTGAAACAGATCTTGGTTTGTACACTTCCCTCAGAGTGGGGAGGTAGACACACTGTCTGCATGGCTCTTACCATCCCCCATGCTGGATGTGCTTTGTTACCGAAGTTTGTTGAGCCCAGCCGCAGCCTCCTAGCCTTCTGGACCCCATGATCTGAAGAGCTGTGTGGATACATGGGGTAGAGGTCAGGGTGGGAGTGGTGCAGTGGAGAAACTATTTACTTCTGCTCTACAGGCTGTCATCTTGGGGAACAGGGAAGGGAAGGTGTTGGGTCTGTTTTTTTCTCCCTTGCCACCTCTCCATCCTACATTTCCTATCTCTGTCTCTTTGTTCAAAAGGAGAAGAGGCATTAAGTGATGTCAATTACTTAATCATTTCTAAATAAACATTTGTTATTCCTACCTTTGAGCTGTCATTTCTTTTAAATAATTTTGCCATGTGTTCTAGTGAGATTTGACACCAGAAGACAGGAGGACTGTGCTCTTTGCCTTGCCACCAAGTGTGACCTTGGGCCATTTAATCACAGGATTTACCAAAGCTTAGTTTCTGCAGCTGAGAGGAGAGCATTAATGTCTGGAAACACGTGGCACAGCAACTTTGGGGCCTAAAATGCCTCTTGGGTGTTAAACATGGTTCACACTGACATAAGGAAGTCATTTTGTTCTAGGAAACAAGATACATTGATGGCATTTTGTCTGGATTTGAAGAAACTTCACTTAGGAAATTTAATACCTGGAATCAGCTATGCTTTAGGAAGTCTTCACTGACAGATGCTTTCCCTTATCAAGGTCTTCACTTCCGCTGCTCCATGGCACCTCAGCTGCTGCCGTTGCCACCGCCTGCCCCCACCCCTGCGCTGGCTCTTCAGGGGCTCCACCGCACTGGCCATGGGGCCCAGCACTCGCCTCCTGGTCTAGGCTAGGGGACCTGTGGGCTCCAACCACAGCAGCCTCATGGGATCGCAGCAGCACAGGCAGAGGGAGGAGGCAGGGCCCACACATGTTCCCCCCAGAATCCCCGTCGTCCTGTTGTTGCTCCAGTCCACGGTCAACTGCTTGGCTGTTTGGGCACGTTTAAGTTGTGTGGCCTGCTTCAGTGCGGCCTGCCGGATCTCCTGCTCAGCGCGCTGCATCTCCTGCCACCACCATCTTGGTTCTGAGAATTCTTCCCAGAACAGGTCTGTTCTGGGGATTGTGGCAGCGCCTCAGCATCAGCCTTGGGGCCCAGTACCTGCCATCCTTCCCAGGTGAGGGGACCCCTGGGGTCTGGCCACAGGAGCCTCATGGAGCTGTGGTGATGTGTGGGCCCGGCAGTGGGGGGCTGGAAGCCGCGGGACTTGTCATTCTTTGGGAATCTTTGATCTCTTGATGTTGAGCCTTGATCCATATTGAAGACCAGTAATCAACTGTTTAATTGTTTTGTTATCAATAAAGAGCACTGTAGAGGGCCATGGTGGCCCGTTTCTAGGCAGTTTGCTGTTCCTGCAGCTCCTTATGTTGTTTCCCTGCCACCGCCATGTTTGATTTCTTGGCTGCTGGTAGCAAGGGTGTTGATTAAAGAGTAAATCATTGACAGCCATTCAATGTTCTCTTGAGCTTTTCAGATGACAGCTTCTTGGTCTAGATCTGGGTTTCACATGAGCACAGTTAAGTGTTCTGAGATTTCCATTCTTACCAGTGCTAGCTGTAATGTGTTAGGATCCAGGGTCGGACCAGATGCACTGCGGAATGACGTCAAGAATACCATCCATGAAGAGTGCGGGAAGTCCATTCCAAAGACGGGATAAAGAACAAAATAAGGGGAGCTCTGGTGGCCTAGTGGCAAGGAGCTGTAACTACAATCCCAGAGGCGAATGGTTCAAATCCACCAGATGCTCTGCCGGGGAA